TTGTTTTTTACTCGTTTCGGGCTTTGCCCCTCTTTAGTCAACTAAAATACAATATATATATTTAACTTATAACAGTAGAGAGTTTACATAAAATAATGAGTACATAAACGATATATAGACGTACCTTTTGGTTACACTTTGTATAATTTAAAAACGTAAAATCTGCTTTAATCTTTGTATAACTAGTATATATTATAAATAAATTAAAAGGTTAAAAGTTCTAAAATCTTCTCTTATAAGCATATTTCGATACTACAAACTGTAAAAAATTTTTAACTGTTTCCTCCCCCTCTTTACCTTCCACCCCCTTTTTTATTTTTTCTTATGCGCTGGTGTCTTAAGTGTTGCCATGTATGACGTTCGATAGAAAAAAAGGAAAAAAATATTATTATAAAAATATTATTTATAATATATTAATCCAGTTTTCGTTTATTTTAAGACTTAAGTTTTTATTTATACTGTCTTTACTTTTCATGATTTCTATGGTTTCTTTAAACTTTCTGTTGTACGTTAATTTTTCTTTATGCAGTATTTCTACGTTATCTTTATCTATATTACAGTTGTTTATAGTACAATGTTCGTAAAATGCAGAATTTATTCTATTGTATTTAAGATCTGCTATGTGTTCTTTCAGTCTAGTTTTTACTTTTCTTTTTGTTTCTCCTATGTAATGTTTTTTGTTTGCGCAGGTACACGGAATTTTGTATACTACACCTTGGTTTTCGATCGGTATTTGCTGGTTTTTCTTCTGGTTCGTGGTTAACAGTCTGCTTTCCATTTTTTGATATGATGGTGCTAATTTGTAGTTTATTTTTTCTATTTCTGCGCTGATTTGTTCATATAAACCTCTAATATATGGAAAGTTAATATATTTTGTTTTAGTTACTTGTTTATCTTTATTTTTACATAGGTTCCTGGGGTCTTTAATTCTGGTTTCCCATTGTTTTAGTAATCTTTGCGGAAATCCTGCTAAAAGAAACTTCTTCCCTAATTCAATTAGATCTTCGTTTATATGTGCTTCTTGGCTTGTCCGGTTTATGATTTTGTCGTATTCCATTTTATATATATTATATTTAATGTATGACGGAATTTTTGATTGATATCTTGTTGTTACTTGGTTAGAGCTCGGTTTCTTGAATGTTCTATATTCCAGATGATGTTTTAATCTTGTTATTGTAATATCTAGGTAGTTAATGCCTTGTCTTGTTATATCTTCGGTCTCTATTTTAAATTTTATTGCTTTATGTATACTAATTGTCTGCTTGTGAATATCTTCTATTTTAATTTCTGTTTCGTCATATATTATTAAAATGTCGTCAACGTATCTTTTGTAGAATTTTTGGTATGTTACATATTATATTATCGATGTCTATCATAATTAATTCGGCAAGTTTCGGGCCGATTACGGATCCCATACTTATCCAATCTGTCTGAGTATAGTATTCTTCGTTGGTTTCGAAGTAGTTACTTCTATACGTAAATTCTATTAATTCTATTATTTCTTTGTTGACTTCTAGGTTATTAAGCATTTCTTCTATTAGATCCGAAGTTATTGATGGGTACATGTCAACTATGTCGAGGCTTGCTATTCTATACTTTTCTTCTATATTAATTCTGTTTAGTTCTTTTATGAGTTCGTCTGCGTTTTTAATTGCAAGGTGTGAGTTCTGGTATTTTTTAAGCTTTTGTTTTAGAAATTTTTCCAGATTATATAACGTTGAATATTTAAAATCTATTATTGGTCTTACTTTTTCTCCTGTCTTGTGCGTTTTAAGTTTTATATTTAGGTTTGGTATACGGTTATTTTCTTCGTTTAGTATGAACCATTTTTCTGTTTTAGTAATCTTGTTAAGTTTTTCGAGTTTATTAATTCTTTTCTTAAGTTCTAAATATATTACATCTATAGGGTTTATCGGTAGCTTTTTAAAATTATTATTGGTTACAATTTCTTGTTTTTTATTTCTTGTCCACTCTTGGTTAACTATTACTGTTTGTTTTGATGGAAAACTTGCCATGTGTCTTTAGAATAAAACACAATACTAGTGTTTATTACGCCACAATTGTTGAATTCTTATGTCTAACTGTTGAATTTTTAAAAATAATAGACTCATTATAAAAGTCAGTTTCCGAACTCTTTAGAATATCTTACTACTGTGACAATGCCGAAGGGCCTCCCTATTCTTCGGCACCACGGGATTGTAGGGTTGACATCGCGTCGGCGAAGATCGCAATGACAAGGTTCGTCAGGACTGACACAGAGACCGTTAGGTTCTTGAGCGAACGATCGCGTGTGTGAGCGAACGGATTCGGGATGGAGGGAGAGACAACGCACTGGAAGTGACTTACGCAGAGACGAGTTAACGTAACAACTATTTAATTGGTAACTACAGGCCATACAGGATATACAATATATATATAGAGAGAGTTTACAGTAAATACACGTGGCGATAAATATCTTGAGTTTTAGTGATTCGCTAGTAGGTCTTGAGGCTCTTGACGAAGCGTCCAGTTAGGCAATCAAGTATTTTCCAGATAAGTCCAGATAATAGGCACTTAATAAGTCCGATGGACGACAAACTTAATCCAGTGAAAAGCACAACGCACACGGAAAAAGATACGGAGCTTCAGACGGATCTCTTCTAGGACTGGGCGACGACTGCCGCACTTTGTTGTTCTGTTGTAGATATTGTACTATTGAAATCGAAATATTAGGTCGAGAGGTGATGAGAAAGCGTTGTTGTCAGGCTTGAGAACTTAACATATGTTTTGCTCCCAGGTGCGAAAGTTGACAGTTATTTAACGAAAGTATAACTACGATAACCTAAACTCCGAGAACAATGTGTTAAACAGAGATTTTCATTGGCAAGCGCAAATGCCTCGAAATCAATAATCACTCGCATTAAAATAATAATAAGTAATTACCTTCAAATTTATGTATATGTTAATAAGTCAATGAACTTTACTAAATCTCTAAAAGACATATTTTATATATCTACACAGTTGTCTAAATAGTGGTTCATTACATCGAATTTTACCACCTCTTTAATTTTATTTTTATATATTTTGATCTCAAACTTGTGCATTTTTGAAGATTTACTTTTATCTAGAATTAGGTCTAAGTCAAATCTTTTGTCAAAGACGAACTTTTAAATAAAAATACTTTCTGAAGACGGTGCTCTTGTATAAGAGGTTCTTGCAAAAGAAGTTCTCGGCGAGTATCGAATCAGTCTCTCATATTATCTCTTGACTCAAAAACAGAGGAAAAATGATATTTCAGTGAGGTATCGAATCAGTCTCTTAATATATATATATATATATATATATATTAAGAGACTGATGTGACACCACCGAGTCTCACTGGACTCGGAAATCGCGACTTTACGTCACGCGAGCCGTAGCATACGAGGTTTGGACCCGGAATGGAGAAAACGGAGAGAAAAACAGAAGAAACTGCACTCGAGAAGGTTAAACATAAGCGTCCGTTTATTTATATATGAGCTACGTTAGTTATACATAATTTAAATTAGATTTACAACAGTGAATAAAATGCTAACATAAAGTACATAAATCGTGGTCAGTAATTGATCATTTTCTATTTCTAATTACAACCGGTTTCGCGTTTAGTTTACGAGAGAGAGAGAGCGTACAATAGTGCGCGGGCAGGATAAATACCTTAGTTTGTATTGTTGATCAAGTACCAGCACCAAAAAGGTCCAACAGTTCTTTTCAGTTGAGTAGGTGTTGAGGTCAGTTGAGTTCAGTTGAGGTCTTCTAGTCTTGTAGGCGAGGAGGAGGTGTTGATTGACGTTCAGGAATCTCGGCGGGAGGTAAACGATCGGCGCACACACACACACCAATAATAACTTCCACACCCTTACTCATCGTGCCTGTCCCTTTTATATCAAGTCCTCTTTTTCGAACTTTTCCCCGATATCGTCAGCGATGACGATCTTCTTGGTCCAATGAGGTGACGGGTGACACAGAAGTGTACTCATCTCAACAAGAAACCCAACTCGTGGGAATCGAGGTTTTTATCGATTTATTTTTTTCGTTTTCCTTTTCTATTTTTCTGTTTTCGCGTTTCGTCTTTAAAAAGTTCATTAAACAAAAAAATTTTAGTTTATAACACGAAATTTTTCATCCTCAGATCACCCTGGGCTTTCTAAAATCGAGCTTGGTTTCATTGAGTAAGCTGGATTTTTCCCATTGAGGAAGTGTTTTACAAGTTTGTTCCAGCTCTCTCTCCCGCTTTTTATTGCGGTCGCGTTACAATGTTGTTATTATTTTTTTTTCTCGGAAGTTATTGATACGTCACGGAAATTGACAATCGTTGATATTTGCTCTCTCTCTCTCTCTCTCGTGGGTTAGCGTTAAGGTGTTTAGCGTTTTGTAAGAAAGTTACACAAATAGGTTTAATGAATTAAAACATTATTTATTGATTCTTTATTGATTATATAAATAATAAAAATATGTGTAATAAAATTCCAGGGATAATAATAGGGCGAGTAATTAATTGTATTGGAACAATAATAAGTATATGGAAATAACAATGGGTTAAATATATGTTGGATTAATATATGTGGGTTACATTATATTTATGGTTATGAGGTTACTGAGATGGATTATGTTCATGAGGAGGAGGAAGCCGAAGTTGTGGGACTTGAAATGATCTAGGAGCAGATAACGGTCTTGAAGAGTTAAGAAGTGGTCTTCGTTGATCAGGTGGTCTTCTTGATCCAGTTGATCCCATGGTGAATGGCTGTCGTTGTGATGATCGTGAGGAGTTGGGAGTAGAGTCCCATTGTTCAATGTACTCGTGCGTAAGGTTGACTTCTTCTCTGAAGGCGGTTTCCTCTGAAGGTGGACAGGTGTATCCTAAGGGTAGCATGAGGACAGTAAGCATATTTTGGTGGATTCGTTGGTTGTGTGCAAAGGAGATTGCTGTTCTAACAGATAATGAGTTGACTTCCTGTTGGTTGTTACGAGATGGAGTGTGTTCTTCAGGTTCCCACCATCACCAGTCGTTGTTGGCATCTGTCATCTGTGGAAATGAATTCCTTTTTAGCGATATAAATAGAGAATTTGAAATTGTTTCCGTCGCAGAAGGATCGAATGAGGGTGTCGGGCAGTTCCAAGCAATGAGTGGTACCGGACTCGGTCTTCAGTTCTGGAATGTGTGAAGAGGTCCAGGTGAGTGTGTACCCACCTCTTTGGAACTTAATGGTATATTCAAGGTTGGATGCGTTAGGGGGAGTTAGGTTTTGAATCTTAATGGTGTAACTGGGTCTAAAGATGTTTTCCTTGTGAACAGTTATGACCAGTTGATGTTCATAACATTCTGAGATTGTTGCCCATATAGCAGGAGTAGGGATTTGAAAATCAATTCCTAAAAATAGGATTGCTGATTTCTTTATAACAGGAACTTGAGGATGATTCTGAGTTAAATGTTGCTGAAATTGAGAACCTTCTCCCATCCAGGTACACTGTATGTTAGTAAATGGACAGGTGAATTGACGGAAAGGGAAAGTTTGTTCATGGATTTCTCGTTAATCAGATTTTACCAATTCTGGACATCCCAAGAAGGCATTCGAACATGGTGCTGTTAAATTTAAGACGATTTGTTCAATTATTAAACAGCTTATATAGCCAAGAGGCTCTCGACAGGTGTGACAGGTATCCAGTTGCTCTCGACATTTCGAGCAAACGATATGTCCATTGGAGCACTGATATACTGGAGGTTAAATGATTGAGACACAAATGGGACAGGTTGCAAGTTCCACCAAAGCAGGATCTGATGGTACAGGTGCAGTCATTCTAGGGATAGTCCAAGTGAGTGATCCTGTAAAGAAGAGAGGCCAATATCTGTTATAGAAAGTTTTTTCTTCGATTAAAATGGGATATTTAGGGTTAGGTGTATAATAAGATTTGAGTCAATATACGATGATAATCATATGTTTAATAGTTACATAATTGGAGGACGTTCGATTGAGGGTACAGGTATGGTAGGTTGATGAGGTGTTTCTAGAGGATTTTTAGTTTAATTTGTGGTTGGCTGTTGCTGAGAACGTGTTGATCGATGGGTCCGTTGAGTTTGACAATATCGATACATAATAAAGGAAAGGATGGATATTCCTATAATGGATGCGAATACGCTGGTTGTTATGATAGTTGGTGATTGCAGACCAATACGGGAATGACATAGGCTCTGATGTGTTGAGAGAAGTTGTTCTAAATCGAATTCCATTCTGTTTAATGAGCCGTCGGCTCGCAGGATATCGACGTCAGGTTGAAGTTCAGGTGTTGAGCTAGGAGTTATTCTCTCGGTTAGTCGAGTGTAAATTAGATTTAACTGTTTCGTAAACTATATTTTTATAAGTGGTATAATAAAATGATGAACGTTTTCAACTTGAATACTAGTTCGTTGGAAATGGAATGTTAAAACGATTTCAGGCAGATATCCGATACAGGTCTCAGGAAGGGTTAATATACCCGTATTATTTATTTTGCTAATAGTAGTTGAAGGTTTCTTTAAATTGCTGGAGGAACATTTAATAGTTAAACTCATCGAAGTGGAAATAGAATAAATCTACGTTCCTTGATTATCGATGCGTCGAAACATAGGTGAGTATGATTTGATGAGTCGCCGTGGACATAATATATTGACGGATTTTTCGTTGCCTAAATATAAAGAATATTCGCAGCTCTGTCGAAGAAATTGCCCGATAGGAACAGTAAACAGGAACAGTAAATAAAGATGGAAGTTACTTTTTGTTGCTTTTTGTGCGAAGTTACGGGATATAAGCGTTACGGTAGAACTGGTGTCTATCGCTAATCGTTGGATAATCGTTAATTGAACAACATACGCTATGTTCGAAGTTTCTACCTATCGTTCTAACTCCTATTCGATTTCGTGATTTACTATACCTTTCGTCGCTTTTTCTTTGAGCGTTTGAGGTTGTAGTCGAGGATCGAATATATTTCCGTTGTAACCAGGTTCGTGGAGGAAGTGATGTGTGTGCGTTATCGCTCCTCTGTCTCGCTCTAGTCCGTCGCCAGTTCGTTTTATTTATTCTCCCCTATGGTGGGGTTTGAGATTGCTGTGGAGTCGGTCTAGGTCGGAAGTTGTTCCTTCATCCGCCTGGTCGATTGTTTAATCTGTACGGTCGACTTCCGCCTCGCGCTCCCCTGACAGATGGGTTTGATTGGGAATAGCTGCGTCTTCCTCTTGGGGAATAGTATTTTCCTGCTCTGTTCGCTGGATATGAGAATCCGCGCCGCCAATAATTCTTTAATTTTAGTTCATTTATTTGACTTTGTATATTTGCTAGAGTTGCTTCCAAATTAGTTGCGCGTTCGTCCTCGGGACTATTTATCGCTCCGACTAGCCCTCGTGATTTTCTGGTCAACTGCTCTATTGTCTCCTTGCTAATTGCGATTTTGACCGTATTATCAAATGTGTCAGGTTCTCGGGACATTACCCTCCATTTGATTTTGTCATTCAGCCTGCTCTGGAATTGGACGAGTAATCTCTCTTCACATTCCTTGGCTTGACATCTTTTTATTACTGCGGACACCCAAGCGTCTACTCCTGTTTGTTCTATTATGGTTTCTGCCACTAAGCTCTTTAATCTAACTGCATATGTCTGTACATCCTCATCGCGCCCTTGCGTGCAGGTATAAAATTTTTGAAGGCAAAGAGATTATGGCTCTTTCTCGAATCGCGAGATCATCTGTCGCTTAAAATCATCATAGGTCTCAAGTTCTCGCATACGCACATTCTTCCACGCATAATTTAAGATGGCCGACTCGGTGGAGATAGCAGACTTGAAACCCACTTTGCGGCACCTGTGTAAGGTTGCCGTCTTCTAGGTGGGAGCTATTAATCGCACGTCAGGATGACCCTAAGGGAAGGTTGTATGTGGGCTGTGACAGTGGAGGCAAATGATGACAAATGTTTTACACAAGAAAGCCGTTTATCTGTCAACATTTATGCTTATGTGATATTTCTAGGGGTTTTTAGATTCAAACCCCACTTCTGTGACACCAATATGTGAGCCACCGGGAGGGAAGAGGAGTCCTCTCCCGCCAGCCACTGGCCGGTGACCTACTTTCTTGTCAGGGATGGTAGTAACGTTCGGTTACGCGTTACGCGAGTAGAGGAGAGTTACGGGGCCGACGATAAGGCTTGAGCAAAGTCGAGTAAAGACACCATTTTTCTAAACTAACAATTTATTACAGACAAATAATAAAACAAACGTTCTAACATGTTACGTCTCATTCGCGTATGAGAGAGAGAGCTTACAATAAAGCGTTCATACCTCTTGCGATAAATAGCGAAGGCCTTTAATTTCTGGAAGGCGGGATCCAAGTTGAAGGTTGGAATCGAAGGTCTTCTAATATGTGGTGCGGCCGGTTAGAGGGAAGCGAAATTCTATCTTGATGGTGCGATGGCGACTTCTTGATTAGCGACTCCCCGGAGAGGGGGGAAGGAGGATGGCTTTTATACCTTGTTGGTGGGAAAATTCGTCAGGTGATCAATTGTTTTAGCAGGTGTGAGGTTAAAGGTAGTGTTAGAATGACAACAATATGACGAATTTCACCGATAACTGTAAACTATATACGGTTTGATCGTGAGAATGTTTATATTAAAACAAAAAGAGTTATAATTCTCGCATGTACTTTAGATTTCGTTTTTGTAGGGTCAAATTCTTTTGGTTGAGGGCATTTTTATTTTAAATTTATTAAACTTTTAAAGGATTAAATGCTTTCATTAACTTCGAATTTCACACTTACATCGACAATCGACAGTCCTTTACTAGTTCTTGTCAGAGATGCAGAGAGGCTAGAAGATCTACGTCTGGTTGGCCCCGGGGCGGACGAGATGATGTCGCTGATCAAGGCGAACGAGATGAAGTTGGAAACGGCAGAGTCCAAAGTTTGTGCCGACGACACACCACAATATCAGTTGCGATGTTTCGGGGAGTCGGAGGAGAGCCCTCTTGACCTCGATGTTCCGATTTTTATAGTTTTTTTTCTCACTATTCGGATTTTTGATTGGCCCTCGTCCCCTTCCTCGCTTCCCGATTGGTCTCTTTTGTTTTGGGGAAAACCAAGACCGACTCGGGTTATGGGAAAGGTCCAATTCCAGTTGTCTACTCCACGCCTTTCTGTCGATTGTTTTTTGGGATTGTTGACAAAAATGCAAGATTCGCGCTCATAATTTAGCTCTGCAATTTCTGTCATCTGAGTACTCGAACAATCATATGCAATGATTTATCTCTCTTAAATCATTCCCTCTTTTCAAAAATTGTTTCCCTAGATTGACTGTTTATGAGCGCGGGGGTCAAAGTTCTACCTGCATATGACCACTTGTCTTTGACTTATAACTTTTTACTCTGACATTGACAGTTCGTTTAACACGTGTTTGAGTCATCCAAGACTCATTATCTACATTTTGTGCCGCGCTGTTTAAATTATGGGATTTTTCTTCCCCTCTCATTTTTAATCTATCGTTATTATTTAAACATAGGAATATCGCGATTTAAATGATTTGGACCTCAGTTGGGTCCTCACAGAGCTCCTGGCCTTTTTAAAATGTTGCTCGGGTTAGCAACATTTTAGCTGGCAGCGTTGGCAGCTGTCAGTCCATGCTTCCGTCCTTACAGAAGTGACATCTGCATTACTTTACTCACAGTGGAATAGCTCTAAATTGTACAATTACTATTGACCGAGCGTTATCAAGACAAAAGAGCGAATGAATCTGGTTAACATGCAATCTTCCCAGGTGATCTTCCAGTTAATGGTGGAAGTTTACATTTACAGGGGCGAAACGCGACGTTGCTCTCTTTCGCTATCGCGTAAATAGGGACAAACAATTCACAAAATTTTTTACCCGACTTTGTCTTGATACTAAAATTTACGTAGCTATTTACGTTTGCGGATGGAATTATGGTTTTATTTAGAAAAGGAACGAACAGAATAAATATATGATTATTTGAATATGAATAAAATGTTAAATGGATTATCATAAGATATAAAATACTAAGGTTATTATTTAATATATATATGAGTACACAAAATAGGAATTAGGAAACGTTATACAAAGATTATACAAAAATGTTTCTCTTTTTCCTTGTCGGGCATTTTCGTGCCTTTGTTGGTTTATCTTTCTCTCCTTGGGCCTCAGGAGTTGGCCCTTCCTACTGTAGGCGGTTTTAACTCCACGCTCGTCCGCACGCATTTAGTTCTCGGTACTGGTCCTGACGGCGTTGTACGATTTCCAGGATTTCTTGTCCCCGACCCACTCCCCGTTGGGATCGGGGCGAATTAGTTTCTGTTCCTATCGGTGGAGGTGGTTGAGGTTCGTTAGAGGTCGTGGAAGTTACCTCTGGTGATCTGGGCTGCCGATAGGCTCGCTGTGTGGTCCGACCATCGTTGGTTGCAATGCCCTTAATCTCTTCTCAATTTAAATTTGGGTCGCTCGTTTTTTGGCAAACCTATTGGCTTCATCCATCTCCGTTTGTAACTCAGTGGGAACCTCTGCTTTCTGGGGGAGGACAATGATCTTTGAGTATCGGGTTGTGGCTGCCCCTCGAACCCTACTAAGAGCGTGACAAAGAGCACGTTCACTCACCTTACGCTTCAATTCATCCCGTTGAGCGCTAGAAATGAAGAATTCATCAAAATCGAAACCATCTAGATCCCAGAGTTCTGTTGTATTCGCCATTCGGTTTGTCTGGCAAGACATAAAGAAGGGTAAATATTAATGTGTGAAAGTTCATATCTACTTCAAATATTCACGTTGTATGCGAGCGACACAACTTCGTCGCGTTAAATTCAATAGATATACCCGCGTTCACAGTACTTCTAGGAGAGAAAGATTTCTAAGACTGATCGGAGTTATTAAGGTTCATCGTCCCACTCTGTCCCTTCCGAGGGGCTCCAGTTTTTCCTGGGCAGGATAATTACCGTAACTGATAAGATAAAATTTTCAAGGTTTTTTTCAGCATTCTGGAATGCAGAATTAGGCAGTCGCCAGACTAGGTGATTCTCTTGACATCGCCCATTATACTTCTCGGGATAGATTCCCACACCACGAGTCTGCCCTTTCCTCTAATTTCGATTTTTCCTTTAAAATTATTTGCATCTTGTCGAGTTCCGACGCATTTAACAACTATGTAAAGAAAGTAAGAATTTTGTATGTTCTTGGTTTTGAAAATTTAAATGAGAAAATCACATTGGTAGCAATGTAATCGTGCTAGCCAAGCTAAAGCTTGAGTCGATTCTAGTCTGACTATCAACATTCGAACACCATCATCATTTAGGTGGAGCGATAGAGAGTGACTTTCCATCAAATGAGGAACTACCTGTTGGTGCCTCCCTTCCCATGCACAGAATTTGTCCACAGTGGGACATGAACAGGTTTTGAAAGGACATCTTCTCTCGTGAGCTTCTCGTTTTTTTTAGGACATGAGATTCTTTGCACCCTTCGTCTCGGTACTTGCAGGGTAGAGCCACAATTTCGGCCAATTTCTCCAGGGAAAAATTTTGATTATTCCCCATTTCCCCTCGGCAAGTCGGACACTACTGTACCAACTCCTTGCATCGAGAGTTGAGTTGAGTTGAGTTGAGTCAAAGAGTAAGCAGGCTGTCTGGTGACTTAGCCCTTGTGAAGCGGAAGTAGAAAGTTGGGGTGGGTTGTGTTGGTTAGTGAAGGAAGGGCGATAGCTGATAGGAAAGGTGTGAAGGGAAGTTAGTAGGATGGGGTCCCATTGGCGCCTTGCGTCGGCATTTATTGAGAGGACCAGACAATATACATTATACAAGTACAATATACAATATACATAACAGAGTCCAATCCGGATGGGTGGTATAAGCTCGGGATTCATAGAATCACCTGGTTGCTACATAGGACAATCCGGTTTTACATACCCGTACGATGCGATAGACAAGATTATATACAAACAGAATCCAATTTGGACAGTTGACGTGTGCGCGGTATATAAAGCAGATCCGTGTTACATATGCATATGATGAGAGAGACCAGTACAGCAGAGGCCGCCTTAAACGATTAGGGGCCAAGAGCCAAATACCGAGAACACTAAGCATACAAAAAATATCAGAGCAGTGCATGTTATCAGAAGAAGAGATGCACCACATGACATCAAAACACTCCGTTGTTTTGAAAGATTTCACAGTCCAAGGCAAATTTTTCCAGTTGGTGGAAGTTCTTCTTTGTGGCGCAGAAAAAGTCCCATGGTGGGGGCCAACTCTTGCCGTTGGAGACACAGTAGTTTTTTAGTATTTGTCTTTGGCTTGTATACTTAGTAGAACTCAGTATGATGTAGTTGATGTTCCCGATTGACGTGCCATCACAATTACAGTAGCTGTTCGCCTTCTTTTTTATACGAGCCAAGTAGCTAGGAAGGTTCCCATGGCCAGTCAGGAGCTGCGTGAGACCATAGGAAGGTGAGATGTAATTCATAGTGATCCGGCTTGCAATGGAGAAATTGGTAAGTAGTCCTGCCTGTGCTAGAGTTGGTCCATTCTTGTTAGTAGTATATATATGAGAGACTCTAGGATAATTTGGTTAACTTCGCGAGGTTTATAACTTTTATTCCAGAATCTCTCATCATTTTGAGGGAAAGACGTCGAGCAGGGGCTAAAATCGTGCAAAATCGCAGAATCTCTCGACCGATTCCGAGATAATTACCATCCCAGAAACTCTCATAGGAGTCGAAACCACACCCATTTTCGATGCCCCTTCGGTTATACTTCTCCGCGAGATTTGAACGAGAGTTTCTGGAATAAATCGCTCCGTTATAAGAGTAATTTTTAAGTACGAATATATTTTTTTAACGGTTCTATGTATATATATTTTTTTCTTTATATATAAGAGAACTATTATTATTTTTCTTTATATATAAGAGAACTATTATTATTTTTGTATAAGCGAACTAATATTTTATTTTTTTTATTAACGACGATTTTTTGCGAGTGGCGCCATCTGTTAAGAAATATATTATTTTAAATATTTTTTTAATATATTTTCGAAATTAGATGTTAAAAGAAATAACAAATAACATGTACCGTCACTAATCGGATCATGCTATTTGCTATTTCGATATTTATCGATTTTTTAACGGTATTTATTGTGTCGCGACGGTGATTAAATAAACGACACGATTTTTTCTTTTTTCTCTCTTTTATTGGAATAAAGAATAGGGGTTACAATGATATATATTAATTTGAAGATTATACAAAAAAAGATAAGAGTATAAATTTTATTAATTATATTTAAAAAATAAAGATTATGTTAAAATTATTTTTTAGAAAAAAAATTATAACTTTTCGCATATTTTCGATAAAACATAAATCAGAGTAAAATGATAATTATTCGATACAAATTTGTTTGATAAATGTTTCTGATTAGCAATGACAATACACCAATTAAGTTTATGCTTGTAATCTTCCATAAATTTTTCGGATAATTCTTGGTGCTTCGAAATAAGGTCCCAATCCACAACGTTTTCAAGTTCTCTAATAATTTCTTCGTGCAATTGTTGATATTGACAAATAAGCTTCATATTCAGGAAATGTTTAAAAGTTAATATGAAATTTTGACTCAGTTTTTTATATTGAGATACGAGATTCCAGTTTAGACGATCGTGATATTGGCTCAAAAAGGATTCTGATAGTTGTTGATAACAACAAACATCGTCCCAGTTAACTCGTTAAACATATCTGTGTATAAAATCGGAGGAGAAGCGTTTGTTTTTCCAAATTTTATTCCAATTTAATTTATGTTGGAAATCTCTAATAAATTCGTCACTAAGATTAGTTTTTTCAGAAATAATGTCCCAATCGACCTTATCTTCAAGTCGTCTTATTACTTCTTCGCTTAAATTTAATCTAGAAAAATCTTTCCAATCAAAATTCGGACCTACTTCGCGAGCTATCATCTCTGCGTTGTTTCCGTTCATTATGATATGAAAATAGTCCTTCTTCTTTCGATAGTAATACGAATAATGATTACTTTTTATTGTTTGTCTCGCTTTTATATAATTTTTTTATGACGCAATCGCTTGGTTTTGGTTTTGGTTTTGTTTTAGGTCAATGAACTTTAAAAATGACGTAATCGCTTTTATGACGCAATCGCGTTTTTCCCCAATAAACCGGTTTTAGTTAAATGAAAGTAAAAATATTATTAAATAAAACAAGACACGAAATTAAAAAAAATATATTTATTGGTTTTCACTTTTATACTCAAAATACATTTTCGGAACATTATTTTCGGGTCCACAATGAGGATTATGTTTTTCCGAATCGATGAAACATTCTTCAAAATTGTTAAAGGTTTTGATAGATTCTGATAGAATTTCTAAGCTTTGATGATGATAAGATTCCTTCGATGTAAGCAGCCATCGGAAATGTTTCACCTTGGGTATAAAGCGTGGTAAGTAATCCACGCAATATAGAATTTTAATGGATGGTGGAAAGTTTTGCGATTTAGCCGAGTGTTCCGCCAATTCGATGCTTGAGAAGCTACCATTAGAGAAAGCGTAGGGAACTAATAATTTTTCGTTGATTGGAAAAAATGCTCTCCAACCGAACGACGACACGCATGTACTTGACTCTCCCATTTTTCTAATGAATTAATTTTTGAATTCGCTATCTAGTTTTTTTATTATGTTTTTACTAGTCGTTTTGTGTTGTTTTAATACGCAATGATTTTGGTTTTAAACGTTATTTTTACATCATGTCTCGTAATATATTAATCGCTTTCGCTATTGTAACCTGTTTATAATTATTTGCGTTAACGATTGGTTTTTCAGTGTTATTATGTAAATCGGATTTTAAGGAAATTAATATAAAAAATACTACTTGCGAATATTCTTTACATTTAGATAGAAACGTTTATTTACATAAATGTACGAATGCTGGAAGAGTTGTATATGGTATTCGAAAATTTACGAGCGAAGGACTACCTCATAAATATATCGGTGTGCAATTATTAAAGAAAGAATTTAACTTACTTTGTACGAAATGCGTTTAAAACATCCGTCGAGTTGTATTGTCGTCGGTCCGTCTCAATCTGGAAAAACTTCTTTAGTTCGAAAAATGCTGCGTGAAAATATCTACGAAAAACCGTTAAAAAGAGTTATGTGGTGTTATTCAATGTTTCAGCCGTGGTTCGTGGAAGAGAAAAATATTCGTTTTAAATGCGGTATTCCCGAAAACATCGAAAATTTGGATTTAATAATTATAGATGATTTAATGCATTCTTTAACCGAAAAAATTGCCGAATTATTTACCGTTCAATCCCATCATAAAAATATAAGTGTTATATTGATAATGCAAAATTTATTTCCTCGTAATAAAGTAATGAGAGATATAAGTTTAAATACTCATTATTTAATATTATTTAAGAATAACAGAGATGAAAGTCAAATCAACTGTCTCGCTCGTCAAGCGTTTATAGGTAGAACGAAATACTTTAAAGATGCATATTTAACCGCGACATCCAAACCGTACGGTTATTTATTAATCGATTTCCACCCGTCCACGGATAAGGAATTGTGTTTGAGGGATTCGTGTTTTCCCGACAACCAAGGCGTGTATTGGGTTTATATTCCACAAAAATGAAGAATATTAAAAAAAATTATCATTTGTTAAATGTGCTTGCAAAGACAACACCCGCTCAGAGAAAGGCTTTGTTAAAAGAAGCTTCCCCCGATCAAATAAAAGTCATATGCGAAATTTGCGACAACACGCTTAAAGGTCGTTTGCCCGTTAATGTGAACAAGTTAAAAAAATATAAAGGATGTATACGAAAACTCGCAAATAAAAAAATAGGTCTCCAAGCAAAAAAGAAGATTTTGGTAAACCAATCTGGAGGATTTTTAGACGCAATTTTAGGTCCAATAATATCATTAGCTAAAAAACTTTTTGGATTCTAATGGCTCAACGAATGGCGCTACTACCACCTGAATTGATACCTAAATATCAATTACAAAAACCGGAAATACGGTTACACGATAATATTCAAGATTTATTAGAAGAAAGTACTTTGACGGATGATTTGAAAGTTAAACTATTAAGTCAATTGATTTCGAGATTTAAACAAACTATCCATGCACCGAAAGAACCGATTCGAGTTTCTTTAACATCGCAACCAACCGAAGAATCTCAACAACAATTGCCCGAACCGACAAAACCATCGTCTATCGAAGATCAGATAACAGTCTCGATACCGCTAGCATATCAAAAGTATGTTCCGCATATCATTCAATTATTAAAATCTTACCAATACGATTGGAACGAAAAAGGAGAATTAGTGGTGAATAACGAACCAATAATAAACAGTCACATAGTAGATTTAATGTCCTATCTTATGCGAACGAGAAAATCGACCATTGTACCCCCGGGTTTTGACACCTTTTGGAATGGAATTATCAAAGCGAATATACCCAAAGAATGGATTGGAAATAAAGCATTGTCGACTCGATTAAAAATAGGAGAATCCCCCGTACTTCGTTTTCGATCGCCATCGATTCCATCGCCTCCGATTCGATCGATTAGTGTTAGGAAAAAAACTGGCGGAGCATCTGCTACAAAAATTCCTAAACGAGTTGCGTCGTCTAAAAGAAAGCATATTTCATGGAAAGATTATTGAGATCTATTTATTACACTCCATCTCATCCCGCATCGTTTGGCGGCGTAACAAGCCTAGTAAAAGCAACAAAGTTGCCGAGAAAAACTGTCGAAAAATGGCTATCGACTCAAGATACGTATACTCTACATAAACCAGTACGAATAAATTATACGCGTCGTAAAACTAAAGCTCTATATCAAGGAGAATTATTTCAATTTGATCTGATGGATGTTCGACAATTTTCGAAAGTCAATAATGGAATAAAATATTTATTATCAACTATCGATGCGTTTTCTAACTATGCGTATGTAATTCCAGTTAAAGACAAAAAACCGGAAACAATAAAAAAAGCGTTTCAAAAACTATTTAGAAAAATAATTCCTCGGTATCTCCATACCGATAAGGGTAAGGAATTCATGAATTCTGTTATTAAGGATTTATTTAAAAAACATCAAATAAATCATTACTATACTCATTCCGAAACGAAAGCATCGATAGTGGAACGATTTAATAAGACCTTAAAAAATGAAATTTATCGTCTTATTACTTATCGAAATTCCAATAAATATATTGATAAATTAAACGATTTGGTACGAGCGTATAATAATAGCACGCATCGAAGTATAGGAATGTCTCCGGNTCAAGCGTTTATAGGTAGAACGAAATACTTTAAAGATGCATATTTAACCGCGACATCAAAACTGTACGGTTATTTATTAATCGATTTCCACTCGTCCACGGATAAGGAATTGTGTTTGTGGGATTCGTGTTTTCCCGACAACCAAGGCGTGTATTGGGTTTATATTCCACAAAAATGAAGAATATTAAAAAAAATTATCATTTGTTAAATGTGCTTGCAAAGACAACACTCGCTCAGAGAAAGGCTTTGTTAAAAGAAGCTTCCCCCGATCAAATAAAAGTCATATGCGAAATTTGCGACAACACGCTTAAAGGTCATTTGCCCGTTAATGTGAACAAGTTAAAAAAATATAAAGGATGTATACGGAAACTCGCAAATAAGAAAATAGGTCTCCAAGCAAAAAAGAAGATTTTGGTAAATCAATCTGGAGGATTTTTAGACGCAATTTTAGGTCCAATAATATCATTAGCTAAAAAACTTTTTGAATTCTAATGGCACAACGAATGGCTCTACTACCACCTGAATTGATACCTAAATATCAATTACAAAAACCGGAAATATGGTTACACGATAATATTCAAGATTTATTAGAAGAAAGTACTTTGACGGATGATTTGAAAGTTAAACTATTAAGTCAATTGATTTCGAGATTTAAACAAACTATCCATGCACCGAAAGAACCGATTCGAGTTTCTTTAACATCGCAACCAACCGAAGAATCTCAACAACAATTGCCCGAACCGACAAAACCATCGTCTATCGAAGATCAGATAACAGTCTCGATACCGCTAGCATATCAAAAGTATGTTCCGCATATCATTCAATTATTAAAATCTTACCAATACGATTGGAACGAAAAAGGAGAATTAGTGGTGAATAACGAACCAATAATAAACAGTCACATAGTAGATTTAATGTCCTATCTTATGCGAACGAGAAAATCGACCATTGTACCCCCGGGTTTTGACACCTTTTGGAATGGAATTATCAAAGCGAATATACCCAAAGAATGGATTGGAAATAAAGCATTGTCGACTCGATTAAAAATAGGAGAATCCCCCGTACTTCGTTTTCGATCGCCATCGATTCCATCGCCTCCGATTCGATCGATTAGTGTTAGGAAAAAAACTGGCGGAGCATCTGCTACAAAAATTCCTAAACGAGTTGCGTCGTCTAAAAGAAAGCATATTTCATGGAAAGATTATTGAGATCTATTTATTACACTCCATCTCATCCCGCATCGTTTGGCGGCGTAACAAGCCTAGTAAAAGCAACAAAGTTGCCGAGAAAAACTGTCGAAAAATGGCTATCGACTCAAGATACGTATACTCTACATAAACCAGTACGAATAAATTATACGCGTCGTAAAACTAAAGCTCTATATCAAGGAGAATTATTTCAATCCGATCTGATGGATGTTCGACAATTTTCGAAAGTCAATAATGGAATAAAATATTTATTATCAACTATCGATGCGTTTTCTAAATATGCGTATGTAATTCCAGTTAAAGACAAAAAACCGGAAACGATAAAAAAAGCGTTTCAAAAAATATTTAGAAAAATAATTCCTCGGTTTATCCATACCGATAAGGGTAAGGAATTCATGAATTCTGTTATTAAGGATTTATTTAAAAAACATCAAATAAATCATTATTATACTCATTCCGAAACGAAAGCATCGATAGTGGAACGATTTAATAAGACCTTAAAAAATAAAATTTATCGTCTTATTACTTATCGAAATTCCAATAAATATATTGATAAATTAAACGATTTGGTACGAGCGTATAATAATAGCACGCATCGAAGTATAGGAATGTCTCCGGCCGAGGTTAAACCCCAACATCATTCGCAAATTTTTAATCGACTTTATGGTAAAACGAAAACTAAAATAAAATATAAATTTAAAATCGACGATAGAGTTAGAGTTTCTAAAAAACGAAAAACTTTTACGAGAGGTTATTTACCCGGATGGAGTAAGGAAATTTTCATTATAAAAGAACAACATCCTACCAATCCAGTTACTTATATCCTGAAAGATTATAACAACAACACGATTAAAGGACGCTTTTATAACGAAGAATTGCAGAAAGTAAAAAATGGATAATTTTTATGTGACTCTAATAAGCACCGCGAGTATGGATTTTTTTCCAAAAAATACTCAATCCTCCTTCACATCGAAAATTAATCCACCGATAAATTTAACAGGATCTTGGGAAGTGGGTTTATCCCAAATAATAATACCACGTTCGTGGTTTAATATCACTAGTGAAAATAACAAATACGTCATTACTACTAAGGAAATGAAATTGATTAAAATAAAAGCCGAAGATTTATCTACTCTAATTCCGTTACAACCTATGCAAGGAAACAACTCGAGTCATATATTCGAAAATATTACGAATAATTTGAAAGTTTTGAAAAAGGATCATTTTATTAATTTTTCTTTTAACAAAGACGATAGCACTGTAAAAATTTACGTCGCTAATGATTGTGAATTGCGTTTACTTCCAGATAGTGGTGGCATATTTCTCTCTATGCTGAATTTAGATAATCAAAATCCGTTCATTATACAGGGAGAAGAAGAACTAACATTTCGATATACTCCGTCTTTACAAGATTTTAGTGGAGAATTTTTTACTTTAATCGAGAAAAATAGGTATGTAGAAGAAATAAGAACCGAAAATGTTGAAAATATATTACAAATACCGAGAGGATTATACGGAACAAAAGATTTTCTTAAAGCATTTCAGATAATAAGTTTTAAATCGCTTCCGGATAAAAAGCTTCTATTGAAAATTCCACGGGGATCTTCAGTCAAATTTAATAAACAATTAAAAGATATATTAGGATTTGATCAATTAGAATATCCCGAAGGAGAATTTATAGGGACGTATCCTTTAGAATTAAATGCTGGAATAACGGAAATATTTGTATATTCTAATATAATAGAATCTCATCATGTAGGGGATACTTCGGCTCCGTTGTTTCGAGTAATTCCCCTCATGGGAGAAAAAGAACAACAAATTGATAAAATTTATAACACTCCATTATTTTTTCCCGTTCGAACCAATCACATAGAGACTATATCTATAGATCTGCGCTCATCCACGGGTGAAAACATAATTTTTACTTCTGGAAAATCGCTTTTGGTATTATATTTTAGACGAGTATAAAAATCCATTTTCACAAAAGAATCATTTATTTAATAAAATGAAGCTTAAACCAGAGGACTGTATCGCTTATTATCGATCGCAGGCGGGAGGATTTTTTTATCCCGATTCTATATATCCGCACACCCGTTATTTTACCCCTCAATCGGGATACGGACAATACTTTAAAGGTCGTCCGATCCAATGAGGATACGGATTTTTTGGAGACGTGTTCAGACAAGCAATTCCAATATTAAAAGATGCGGGAAAATATATTGGAAAGAAAGCGTTAAATATGGCAAAAGATATCGGATCCGATTTACTCAGCGGGAAATCGTTAAAAGATTCCGCCCTAACACGTATAAAAGAACTAGGTGAAGGAGTGAGAGATGACGTCATTCAAAAAGTTCAAAGCGGGTCGGGTAAAAAACGAAAACGTCGAAGAAAAAGCGTAAAACAAAAGAATATTAAGAAGAGGAAGGAAGTCGATATTTTTTCTTAAGAATAAATGGACCCCTCATCCTGTCCGTGTCTCAAGTCCGAGCTCGCTTTTTTCGCCACAATCCCCACACAGCTGTCTATAGAACATACTACTGCGACAATCCTTTTTCCAATAGCCTCCATAAGTAACCAAACATCTCCTATAGAATTTTTAATTCCCGGTTCGGGTGAAAGCTTAATAGATTTGAGCAGTATTTCGATTAATGCTCAATTATCCGTTACTAAACGAAATGGAATGGCTACTTTGGATACGGACCTCGTTACTCCCGTAAATAATTTATTGCATAGTATGTTTTCACGATGCACCACTTTGTTTAATGATAAATTAGTATCGACGCATATAAATTATCCCTATAAGGCAATAATAGACGCTCTCTTATTTTCGTCTGAAGAAGCGCAAAAAACTTATTTAACTAGTTCTTTTTTCTACAAAGATACCGCTGGATTTTTAAACGAAACCGATCCGATTAAAGATGTAGACGAAGCCGATCCGATTAAAGATGCCAAGAATGAAGGATTAATCGCTAGATTTAAGAAAAGTAGACAAAGTCAAGTATTGGATTTATATGGACGACTTCATTTCGATTTTATTAATCAACCTAAATTACTGATAAACGGCGTAGATGTTCGAATAAAATTGGAACGTTCAAAAGACGCTTTTGCTTTAATGGCAAATAGCGATAACTATCAGATTCGATTAAAGAATATTATGTTGAAAGTAAACAGAATAGAGGTTAGTCCTAGCATCTTACTGGGAATGGAGAAGACTTTGGAAAATTCCGTAATTAAAATGCCTTATAGACGAGTTAATATTAAAGTGTTTACGCTAAGTAAAGGTATTTTGAGTTCAAATATTTCAAACGCAATAATCGGTCAAATCCCGAAAAGAATTATAATCGGATTAGTTCGTAATAATGCATTTAACGGACAGATCGATTTAAATCCTTTCAATTTTGAAAATTTCGATTTAAATTATATTTCTGTTATAAAGGATTCGATTTTAATTCCTCCTAATCCTTATACTCCCGATTTCGACGAAAAAAGCTACGCTCGAAGTTATGCAACATTATTCGAAGAGATGGGTGGAATTCCCTACGGAAAATACGCTAATATATCGTATTCCGACTACGCGCAAGGATACATGTTTCACGTGTTTGATTTAACTCCTGATAAGGCAGCGTCTGAAAATCATACATCGATAATAACACACGGAAACATTAGCATAGATTTAAAATTCAAAAGACCGTTACCGGAGACAATTAATGTTGTTTGCTATTTAGAGTATCGCAATACAATAGAAATCGATCGATCTCGGAATATTTTCATCGATTATTAAACGATGGATACGATTACCCTATGGAAACTAGCATTAGGAGATCCAGAAATTAGCAAGACATTTGGAGGCGTCTATCCATCGGATTTATTACCCGAAAAAATCGGAAAAAAGAAAGGATTTATAGTTAATACCGATAGCAGTCTAAAGCCGGGACAACATTGGATAGCGATATATTTTCAAGATTCGACGTGTTTTTACTTCGACTCGTATGGATTTCCCCCCAAAATCCCCTCGATTATAAAATTTATTCGTCGGAATTCGAAACAGTTACGCTGGAATCGATTGACTTTGCAAGGACCGTATAGTTTTACGTGCGGATACTTTTGTCTATATTTTCTCTATAAAATATCGAGAAATCAAGACATGCGAAAATTACAACCTAATACTAAACAATTCAATGACGCTTTTGTAATGAGATTTATACACAATAATTTCCGCTTGGCTAAATTACCATCTAATATAAAAATTAACTGTAATCAATGTAGCATTAGTTTACTCAAATAAAAAATCTATTTAAAATTAAAAAATGTGTTTTTATTGAACCTGGAAAAAAAACTAATATTAAATTTAACCGCCCATATCCGAAAAATCAAAGAAATATTTTTTTATACACCATTTTTTTCTTTATTCTACCATGTCCATTTCTAAAAATAATATTAAATCGTTTAAGAAAAACTAAACAAATATATTTAAATTTTTTGAAAAAAGATCCTTACCATCAAGAAATAAAATAAGGGTTTCCCCCTTATAATTTATAATACACCAATTTTCCTCTTTTCTCAGTGATAAGGCAATTGTATCGCTAATTAATTTTTCTTTTCGTTTAAAAAATGACTTGTTGTTTAAAAAAAGTTCGTATTCTTTCCATTCATACACTTTTAGCTTTTCAAAAATCCTGTCGTTTAGGTTTGGGTTTAAAATACCGGTATATTTATAAAAATCGTGTATGTTTTCCCTCACCCAATATGGTTTTGGATATTCTAGAAATTAATAAGTTTTTAAGCTAACTAAAACAACTATTATATATTTAAAAAATAATTTTTAGTAAAATATAAAAAAATAAATACCTTTTTTTTCTTTTAACTTTATCCATTTGTTGTTGTCAGTTTTAAAACGAAATTTCTTTTCATTCTCTAAATTTTCGGGAATGATTACTGGAATCCATTTTTCGTCAATTAATTTTATTGCATGATAATACTCATACCCGGTTATTAAAAAATAATATTGGTAATGTTTCTCCTGAAGCATGGAGTTCATTTTGTCTGAGATATAAGGACGAAGAAGAAATAAAAGTATTTATATATTGTCCGACATTTTTTTTTATTTCCCCTAAGATTACTTTTTTCGTTTTTTTTCCCCTTCAAGACTTCCCACACAGATATTAAGAACTTTTTACACAATTAGATAATTAATGCAAGACTTCCTACGGGATAACTAATATATTATGTTTTTTTTNAAATAAAAAATCTATTTAAAATTAAAAAATGTGTTTTTATTGAACCTGGAAAAAAAACTAATATTAAATTTAACCGCCCATATCCGAAAAATCAAAGAAATATTTTTTTATACACCATTTTTTTCTTTATTCTACCATGTCCATTTCTAAAAATAATATTAAATCGTTTAAGAAAAACTAAACAAATATATTTAAATTTTTTGAAAAAAGATCCTTACCACTCATCAAGAAATAAAATAATGGTTTCCCCCTTATAATCAATAATACACCAATACTTCTCTTTTCTCCGTATTATTACTGGTGTCTTTCTAATTGTTTTGATTTTACCTTTAAAAATGATTTAGTCCCGCAAAAAATTTCGTATGTTTTGTACTCATACACTAATAGGTTTTTATAAATTCTGTCATTCAATTCTGAGCCATTAATATGTTTAAATAAATCATGTATGTTTTCATACCACCAATATGGATTCGTATATTCTAAAAAAAATAAGATTTTTAAAACTAACTAAAACAGATATTATATATTTAAAAAATAATTTTTAGTAANATTATACTCATTCCGAAACGAAAGCATCGATAGTGGAACGATTTAATAAGACCTTAAAAAATAAAATTTATCGTCTTATTACTTATCGAAATTCCAATACATATATTGATAAATTAAACGATTTGGTACGAGCGTATAATAATAGCACCCATCGAAGAATAGGAATGTCTCCGGCCGAGGTTAAACCTAAACATCATTCGCAAATTTTTAATCGACTTTATGGTAAAACGAAAACTAAAATAAAATATAAATTTAAAATCGACGATAGAGTTAGAGTTGCTAAAAAACGAAAAACTTTTACGAGAGGTTATTTACCCGGATGGAGTAAGGAAATTTTCATTATAAAAGAACAACATCCTACCAATCCAGCTACTTATGTCCTGAAAGATTATAACAACAACACGATTAAAGGACGCTTTTATAACGAAGAATTGCAGAAAGTAAAAAATGGATAATTTTTATGTGACTCTAATAAGCACTGCGAGTATGGATTTTTTTCCAAAAAATACTCAATCCTCCTTCACATCGAAAATTAATCCACCGATAAATTTAACAGGATCTTAGGAAGTGGGTTTATCCCAAATAATAATACCACGTTCGTGGTTTAATATTACTAGTGAAAATAACAAATACGTCATTACTACTAAGGAAATGAAATTGATTAAAATAAAAGCCGAAGATTTATCTACTCTAATTCCATTACAACCTATGCAAGGAAACAACTCGAGTCATATATTCGAGAATATTACGAATAATTTGAAAGTTTTGAAAAAGGATCATTTTATTAATTTTTCTTTTAACAAAGACGATAACACTGTAAAAATTTACGTCGCTAATGATTGTGAATTGCGTTTACTTCCAGATAGTGGTGGCATATTTCTCTCTATGCTGAATTTAGATAATCAAAATCTGTTCATTATACAGGGAGAAGAAGAACTAACATTTCGATATACTCTGTCTTTACAAGATTTTAGTGGAGAATTTTTTACTTTAATGAGAAAAATAGGTATGTAGAAGAAATAAGAACCGAAAATGTTGAAAATATATTACAAATACCGAGAGGATTATACGGAACAAAAGATTTTCCTAAAGCATTTCAGATAATAAGTTTTAAATCGCTTCCGGATAAAAAGCTACTATTGAAAATTCCACGGGGATCTTCAGTCAAATTTAATAGACAATTAAAAGATATATTAGGATTTGATCAATTAGAATATCCCGAAGGAGAATTTATAGGGACGTATCCTTTAAAATTAAACGCTGGAATAACGAAAATATTTGTATATTCTAATATAATAGAATCTCATCATGTAGGGGATACTTCGGCTCCATTGTTTCGAGTAATTCCCCTCATGGGAGAAAAAGAACAACAAATTGATAAAATTTATAACACTCCATTATTTTTTCCCGTTCGAACCAATCACATCGAGACTATATCTATAGATCTGCGCTCATCCACCGGTGAAAACATAATTTTTACTTCTGGAAAATCGCTTTTGGTATTATGTTTTAGACGAGTATAAAAATCCATTTTCACAAAAGAATCATTTATTTAATAAAATGAAGCTTAAACCAGAGGACTGTATCGCTTATTATCGATCGCAGGCGGGAGGATTTTTTTATCCCGATTCTATATATCCGCACACCCGTTATTTTACCCCCCAATCGGGATACGGACAATACTTTAAAGGTCGTCCGATCCAAAGAGGATACGGATATTTTGGAGACGTGTTCAGACAAGCAATTCCAATATTAAAAGATGCGGGAAAATATATTGGAAAGAAAGCGTTAAATATGGCAAAAGATATCGGATCCGATTTACTCAGCGGGAAATCGTTAAAAGATTCCGCCCTAACACGTATAAAAGAACTAGGTGAAGGAGTGAGAGATGACGTCATTCAAAAAGTTCAAAGCGGGTCGGGTAAAAAACGAAAACGTCGAAGAAAAAGCGTAAAACAAAAGAATATTAAGAAGAGGAAGGAAGTCGATATTTTTTCTTAAGAATAAATGGACCCCTCATCCTGTCCGTGTCTCAAGTCCGAGCTCGCTTTTTTCGCCACAATCCCCACACAGCTGTCTATAGAACATACTACTGCGACAATCCTTTTTCCAATAGCCTCCATAAGTAACCAAACATCTCCTATAGAATTTTTAATTCCCGGTTCGGGTGAAAGCTTAATAGATTTGAGCAGTATTTCGATTAATGCTCAATTATCCGTTACTAAACGAAATGGAATGGCTACTTTGGATACGGACCTCGTTACTCCCGTAAATAATTTATTGCATAGTATGTTTTCACGATGCACCACTTTGTTTAATGATAAATTAGTATCGACGCATATAAATTATCCCTATAAGGCAATAATAGACGCTCTCTTATTTTCGTCTGAAGAAGCGCAAAAAACTTATTTAACTAGTTCTTTTTTCTACAAAGATACCGCTGGATTTTTAAACGAAACCGATCCGATTAAAGATGTAGACGAAGCCGATCCGATTAAAGATGCCAAGAATGAAGGATTAATCGCTAGATTTAAGAAAAGTAGACAAAGTCAAGTATTGGATTTATATGGACGACTTCATTTCGATTTTATTAATCAACCTAAATTACTGATAAACGGCGTAGATGTTCGAATAAAATTGGAACGTTCAAAAGACGCTTTTGCTTTAATGGCAAATAGCGATAACTATCAGATTCGATTAAAGAATATTATGTTGAAAGTAAACAGAATAGAGGTTAGTCCTAGCATCTTACTGGGAATGGAGAAGACTTTGGAAAATTCCGTAATTAAAATGCCTTATAGACGAGTTAATATTAAAGTGTTTACGCTAAGTAAAGGTATTTTGAGTTCAAATATTTCAAACGCAATAATCGGTCAAATCCCGAAAAGAATTATAATCGGATTAGTTCGTAATAATGCATTTAACGGACAGATCGATTTAAATCCTTTCAATTTTGAAAATTTCGATTTAAATTATATTTCTGTTATAAAGGATTCGATTTTAATTCCTCCTAATCCTTATACTCCCGATTTCGACGAAAAAAGTTACGCTCGAAGTTATGCAACATTATTCGAAGAGATGGGTGGAATTCCCTACGGAAAATACGCTAATATATCGTATTCCGACTACGCGCAAGGATACATGTTTCACGTGTTTGATTTAACTCCTGATAAGGCAGCGTCTGAAAATCATACATCGATAATAACACACGGAAACATTAGCATAGATTTAAAATTCAAAAGACCGTTACCGGAGACAATTAATGTTGTTTGCTATTTAGAGTATCGCAATACAATAGAAATCGATCGATCTCGGAATATTTACATCGATTATTAAACGATGGATACGATTACCCTATGGAAACTAGCATTAGGAGATCCAGAAATTAGCAAGACATTTGGAGGCGTCTATCCATCGGATTTATTACCCAAAAAAATCGGGAAGAAGAAAGGATTTATAATTAATACCGATAGCAGTCTAAAGCCGGGACAACATTGGATAGCGATATATTTTCAAGATTCGACGTGTTTTTACTTCGACTTGTACGGATTACCTCCCAAAATCCGGTTGATTATAAAATTTATTCGTCGGAATTCGAAACAGTTACGCTGGAATCGATTGACTTTGCAAGGACCGTATAGTTTTACGTGCGGATACTTTTGTCTATATTTTCTCTATAAAAAATTAAGAAATCAAGATATGCAAAAATTACAACCTAATACTAAACTATTCAATGATGCTTTTGTAATGAGATTTATACACAATAATTTCCGCTTGGCTAAATTACCATCTAATATAAAAATTAAATGTAACCAATGTAGCATTAGTTTACTCAAATAAAAACTCTATTTAAAATTAAAAAATGTGTTTTTTATTGAACCTGGAAAAAAAACTAATATTAAATTTAATCGCGCATATCCGAAAAACCAAAGAAATATTTTTACTCACCATTAATATTTTATCGTTTTAATAAATGTAATCTATTCTATTGATTCTAGAAATAAAAAAGAAAATTAAATCATTTTAAAAAATTATTTAAATTTTTGAAAAAAAAAAATACTTACAACTTCAAATAAAATAAATAAGGTGTCATCATATTCCACCACTATCTTATTTTCTTCATTGTAATGTATAATGGCTTCTTCCTCTTCCATAATTTTTATTATTCTTTCACAAACATATCTTTTTTCATTATGATAAAATGTATATTGTTTATAAATTTTTTTATTAATGACAGTATAATCTTGTGGTCTTAAATATATATATGGAACGTGATGATTAAAATTATAAATATTGCAAAACTCCCAATCTTTGTCTGATTCATCTACAAATTAAAATTTTTTAAAAAATTTTACTAAAAAAATATGAGTTTTTTCTACAAATTAAAATTTAAAAAAAAATTTGTTTTATAAAATATAAAAAGATAATTACTTTTTTCTTCCAACACAAACGCTTTTCCATTTTCGTTGTTAAAAATTAAATCGTTTAGAGAAGAAATGTTTATGCATTCCCACGATTCATCTAATGTGTTATATCCTACAAATATTTTACCACTTCTTTTCACAATATATTATAATATGATTTTGATTTCTAAGGTTCCAGAAATCATTTTTAACAGCTGTCAATGAGAAATCATAATATTTATATTGTCTCTCATTTTTTTTTCAAGACTTCTCACCCATATGACTAATGTTTTCTTTTCTTCTTCAAGACTTTCCCACCTAGATGATTAATGTAATATGATTTTTTTTTCTTCAAGACTCCCCACTCACTTTTTTTCTTTAATACATTCTCAAGAAAAAATTCACACCCGTTATTGTATATTAACGGTGTCAAAGGGTAATAGCCCTTATTATCAAAAGGATATAAAAGCAAGAGAAATAGACAAATAAATTTATTAGTTTATCAACTCTCTCTCTTTCTCTACATCTAAACAAGAAAAGATGTCTATGGAAGGTAGGATAAATTTTTTTATTTAGATTTGATTTTAAATATGAAAATTAAATTATTATTTTTTATAGTTATTCATTTTTTTTGTAGATTCTCAATCGTTGTTTGTAATCGACAACCCCTTTACAGCTAGAAAGCGTAAATCGACAACAAAAATCGATGATGCACCGGTGGAGAAAAAAAATAAGTATGACTTAGTCATATCGAAAGACGAATCTTCGTTTAAAAGTATCCCGCCGTATTCGATATACATATCGCATGGGTTTAACCTGGAAATTAAAGAATTCAGACAACAGTATTATATATGTTTAGCGAAAACAAGTGCTAAAGGCGAGATACAGAATAGATTCAACATCCCGGTAAAAGAAGTTAATTTTTTTATTCAAGCTTTGAACGCAGTTCAAAAATATCTGGAAGATTTCATTTGAATAAATGAAAATCTATGCGTAAGTAATTTTTTTAATATAATGGTTTTAAAAATTATGTAATTTAATTGATTTTTTTTTTAAATAGAATTATTGCGAACGTCTCTCTCTCTCTCTCAAAATATGAAGAAATCATTGTATATATCTCGTATATGAAGAAATTGTCTAGTTCGGCATCTCTCTCTTATATGAAGAAATCGTCTAAAAACATTAACTCGTCAGGTAAAAATTTAAAAAGAAAATGTTTTTGCTGGTAGAATCAGGCTTCCGAAATTTTTTAGAATGCTATCGTAAAAGTGATCTCGAATATATCGATCCAACCATTTTTTTTAGAGATATAAAATCCGAACTTTTTAACGTAATTACGAACTTCGGGAATGATTATAGAGTACGATTTGTGATTAGCTTAAAAGTAATAATGTACAAAAGTGTAGAAATGGGAGATAAATACGAGTTTAAAGATTTTTTCTTTACGAGTTATGCAGAACGAGTTCTAAGCCCTTTTCTAAGTTGGAAGAATATTGAGAATGCGATAAACAAAATTCTAGGAGATATATCTGTTGCAGTAGTATTAGGTAGCGGGTGGGTAATTTACAAATTAGATTATATTGATATTCATAGAGCGACGTATAATGCATATAATGGGGGTTGTGGTTCTATAATTTTGCCTAAACGTTTAGTAAATAAAAAATGTATTTTAAATATTCGATGTAATGATAATAAATGTTTTGTTTATTGCATTCTCGCGAGTATTTTTCCATTGGTAAATAATAAAAATAATATATCTAGCTATAAAAAATATTTAAAATTTATTAATTGTTCGAATTTAAAATATCCGGTTTCGTTGGACCAAATATATGTTTTTGAGAAATCAAATAGTATTTCCATTAATATATATGGTTATAAAGATATTGTTTTTCCGTATTATATAAGTAAGTTTAAATTCGGTAAAATTGCGAATTTACTATTATACCAAAATCATTATTTTTTAATTCGAAATTTCAACAGACTTTTACACGAAAAACAAAAGTCTCTTTATTACTATTGTAAAAATTGTTTAAACGGTTTTCAACGCGAATCGAGTTTAAATTTACATAGAGAAATATGTACAAATTTCAAATTTCAAAGACTATCGGTACCTACAGTCGAAAATTCCATTCTTAAATTTAACGAATTTCATAAGATGCTTAAGCATCCTGTTGTCGTTTATTGCGACTTCGAATGTTTAACAGAAAAAGTTTCTAACGCGATGCAATCAACAGATACTAGCTTTAGTACCGTTACGCAAATTCATAAACCGATTTGTTACGCGATGGTCGTATTAGATAAAAACGAAACAATTATCTATTCTAAATTTTATTGTGGGTTAGACGTTATAGACAATTTTTTAGAAACTTTAAAACATCAATCGGAACGTCTTATTAAAGAAATAAAACTTAATATTCCACTAGATCGTCGAACAATTCCAAATTCTATTAATCGAGATAAATGTAATATTTGTGGAAAAAAGTTTTCCCCTAAAGATGTAAGGTTAATTGATCATAATCATTTAGATGGAATGTTTCGACAGGTAGCGTGTCAAGGATGTAATTTAAATCTAAATCTAAAACCTTTTATTCCCGTAGTTCTTCATAATTTTTCTGGTTACGATTCACATCTAATTTTAAAAGATATTTCTAAAAAGTATATATCCTCTCTTAGAATTATTCCCATCAATATGGAAAAATACACTACATATACTTTAGATTGTTTTAAATTTTTAGACAGTTACCATTTTTTAAATTCGTCATTATCAAGTCTAACTGAGAATTTAATAAATTCAAAGTACGACTTTCCGATCTTTAATCAATTTTTTTCGAATAATAAAAATAGCTATTTGTTAAAAAGAAAAGGTGTTTTTCCATATAATTGGTTTAATGATATCTCAAAATTAAATAATAATTCTTTACCCGATAAAAAATGGTTTTACAACGATTTAACTAGAAGTCATATAAGTTCGGAAGATTACAATTTAGCTCAGCTTGTGTGGAACGCTTTTAATTGTAGGAAATTTTCAGATTATTTACAATTATATCAATTTGTCGATACAATTTTACTCGCAGATATTTTTTCAAATTTTCGTAACTTATCATTAAAGTATTACGATCTCGATCCAATTCATTTTTTAACTTGTCCAAATCTTACATTTATTGCGGGATTAAAAATGGCTAAAATAGAACTAGAGCTATTTACCGATTTAGATATGTATCTATATATAGAATCTGGAATTAAGGGTGGTCTTTCATTGGTCGCAAATAGGTATTCCCANTTATTAAAAACCACGTCTTGGCAATTTTGTTTACAATATCTCTCTCTCGCTATATATAAAGCGGGAGCGATTTATTCCAGAAACTCTCGTTCAAATCTCGCGGAGAAGTATAACCGAAGGGGCATCGAAAATGGGTGTGGTTTCGACTCCTATGAGAGTTTCTGGGATAGTAATTATCTCAGAATCGGTCGAGAGATTCTGCGATTTTGCTCGATTTTAGCCCCTGCTCGACGTCTTTCCCTCAAAATTGTGAGAGTTTCTGGAATAAAAGTTATAAACTTCGCGAAGTTAACCAAATTATCCCAGAGTCTCTCATATATATACTACTATCATTGCAATATCGCAAACTAATAAAATTATCTCTGTTATTCGACTAACTTGAAAATGAAATGTTCTAACACTAATCTGAAAAGAAAATGCGGTGAGAGTTCTTAAAATGCAGTAAACAATGAAGCATATCCAAATAGTAACAACTTTAATTTTTATGCTTTTCTCGTGAATTCCTTCTTTTAACTGAAAATCTTTGAGTCTGCGAAGCTTCTGAATCAGTTTGCGAACTTTGTTCTTTTTCATATGAAATTGAAATACTGATACGAAATTGATAAGTATAAAAAATTCATAAAAGGCCAATGTCAACATTTTCACAAATGTAAAATTGTGTATTATGCTAAACATCACTGTTAAGGTAAAATAAACAGTGTGTAAGATACCGATAACAATCATGACTATATCATATAGTGTAGTTCGACTTGAATTATAATTTAAACCACATAACATCATTGAAAACAGCAACCAATTCCATGTTTTTTTGTACCCTATTTTTTTAGTTGACTTTACAATAGGATAAACGTTACTTACCGAAAAAACTCTCATATTTATGAACTGAGATAAAGTTCTTCTTTGAAGTAGAACGTTAAGCAATTGTATTTTTCAGAAATTATCGTCTGTTTGTAGTTTTGTTCGCGTGGATTTTCTGTAAATAAAATTTGTCATTTGAAAGTCAATGAAACTGTTAATTTTCGAATTCGCGTGCAAATCTTTTTCGTGCAAGAGTTTTTAAAAAAGCGCATAAATTGTTTAATTTTCTGTCGTATAAAATTAATCATGCGTTTTCACGGGGATGGATTTATGTTGTGTTCTGTGAATGTTGTTCAAAGAAAATCGATAAATTAATTTTATTAAATTAACTCGATCTATTTTTAAAGTAAATAGAAAAATTACGTTATAAACGTTAGAATTTTTACGATATTCTTGATTAAATCAAACATGTAAGGAGATTGTGAAGTGCATATAACTTTTCTGTTTTTAAATTCTACGTAGGAAAAAGATACACATTTAGTGCAGAGGGTGTCATACTGTGACTTTTGAACTGTATATTTTTGGATTAAGGTCGAAGACAGTCACTTTTTACTTTTGCAAGGTAATGGACTAAGGTGACATCGGTTTCTAACCAACATCTCGCCAGATCCTCCGTAGATAAACAAAAATTTAATTACTGTCTGGACTGTTTTCTTACTTCAACCTAATTATTGTTACAAGATCACACAAACATGTTAGCAGGGTCCAGGCAAAGTAGTTGAACAAGATGGGGCAAATTTATATTATCCATTTTCGTGATAATTATTATAGCATAAATAAACTTATTATAGTCATTTTATTTCATAAATATGCTATGAATGATAATAAAAAATTATTAGAACATAAAACAAATCAAGAAAAAAAGCAATAATTAAAATTTTTGAAGTCAACAAAACACTACCCAGTAAAAAATATGTAGAACAGACGCTAGACAAGTCGGTGCCGTCAAGTGCTGATAACTGTTGTTGACAAATTTTATAAAAATCGATTTTTTTCTAGGGTAACGGTAATCGTTACTCTCGTAGGTTTGCCTAACGATGGGGGTAACGATCGATCGGTACTTTCGAGGGCAAGAGGTCTTAATTAGTGATGTAACGAATATTCGGTTACTATTCGGTATTCGGCCTATTCGGCCTATTTTTCACTATTCGGCCGAATACCGAATATTTAATCACTATTCGGCCGAATACCGAATACCTAAAAACAGGAGTAATAAATAACAAAAACACAGTAAATTAATCATTTTGGTATTTAGATTTAATGTTATAGAGTTAGTGTTGTTTGTTTATATTTATTTATATCTTGTAACATGCACAAAATAAAAAAGAAAATAATATTAGTCACATGTATTCACAATTTATAATTACAAAGATCAGCACACGTACACGTCTATCGTTGGAGAATCCTCGCACATCTGAGGATCTGACCTGCCTATCCTTCTTTTTAAGCACTCGTCTTTGCTCTTTCCTTTCTCTTTCCTCTATCGCTCTAATCCATGTATGCCTGTGCATACATCATAATACGTGCTCACGATACTTTCGATTCGTCACTTTTCCGTCGTAGAGTTCCCATTTTACAATTACGTGACTCAGCCTGGTGATAACGGAGAAAAGAGACAGATAAGACGTCGATATAAGTCACAGTTATGATTTCACAGATTCGAGACAGCTTGATAGCCCGAACGGCCCCAGGCTTTCGCCTGTGCACGCTAAGTGACATACATTACAAGCATTTAGCTTTCCGAAGACTATGACAACAATTGTTCGGCATTGACGGGCGCGAATTTCGTGCCAATAAGCTGCCTCGACTTGTTCGATTATGTTATCGACTCAATTTCATATTTATTTTCGCATTTTCACTTCGCGGTCATTCTCTGTTCTTTTTCAATTATTTACACGTGTAGGTCATTTCATTGTTATCCACATTTCATATCATCATTTATCACATACTTTCATGACACTCTTGGCTGTCCGCTACAACTGCCAAGAATTAACGCGATTGGCGAAGCGTAGTGACAGCGGGCCAATAGAGAGCAGGATCCTTGCCATAATGCGGTTTGCGCGCCAATTTTCGTACGTGCGTTAATCGAGCCAAATAGTTTGGCCGAATATTCGGTATTCGGCCTGAGGCCGAATATACTATTCGTTACAACACTAGTCTTAATTCTACATGTACTGTTATTTCACTATCATTTTTCTGTTTTGTCTTCTAACTATCTAGCTAAATTTTATTTTACCTTGAGAAACTTCAGTTCGTGACATTTAAAATTTTAGACAAAGTGCTAAATTTAAATAAGATTTCTATCTGTCATAACGAAATGTAATATTCCGGATGCTTTGACAAATTCGATTGTAGTAAATTTCTATTATGACAACAAAATTGGTATCAATAATCAAAAAACAGACTAATAATAATAGGATAAAAGGGTGTCATGTAAGTTTTATATTACGTCTTTTCCTGAAGTAAAAATATAGCAATACAAACATAAAAACAAATTTTCTCAGTGTAAATTAAAAGTAAAGAGATATTTTTCACAAAGAAACAATTCTACAAAATATAATTCATTGTTACTACATATTTACTTTTGAAGTATTGTTTAAATTTAATCCTTTTTTTCATTACAAGTTTTTAAAATCAAAATTATATAAATGTCACATTCGCGTAAATAAATTAAATTAAATATAATACATAATATTAATATATGATTTTATTAAACAAAATATAACATTTTTTTGTGTTTCCGAATGCACATGCTTATTAATTATGTGATAGAAAGGAAAAGGGGTTTCACGTGGTAAAATAATTGGTAAGGGCAAGCACTAACTTAAAACATAAATTCTATCGTGTTTTGAAGGTAAAAAGGATATATAATTTAATCTAAATTAAGTTTATGTGCTATAAAATTATCTCTGAAAAGTACTATGAGATATTTAAGAATGGCAAAATAGTTAATTTATTATTGTGTTTGAACATCAAATCCGGATTCGTCGATTGGTTTTAGGAAAAATGAAAAATATAATTGTAACAATAAAATACTGCAGAGTTTATGTAGTTTGAGATACTAGTATATCAGATCTGCGGATCGGATTGCTGGATTTTATATATACATGCTGTAGTTCACAAATCAATATATCGCTCACGATTATTACTGTTCTGCTGTCTGCACGTGCAACTAGCGACTGGCAGTATACATCCACTATTTTCACTTTATGTTACATATATCGACAAGCAGTAACACGATAATTTCAATTCTATTACTATAGCTCCTTGCTTCTATTGTAAGTAATGCAATTTTTGTGTTACTACACAATTAAACTTTAGGGCTTATCACATTGACTAAATTAACAATAAGAGATTATTTAATTGATAAAACAGAAAGTAACTATTCTTGTAATACTTAATTCATACAATTAATTGTTATACTTATTTCTGTTTGTATGTTTAAAATAAAATTATTATTAACATACATAATAAAGTAGAAATCAAATCGGCTTTACACTTCGCTATCTCTTTGTCAGTTACTGATATATATTTATTGTGTTAAGATAAGATACTGCCTGATATTTAGATAATGTTATACAACTATTTTTTATTACTGCTACTGACAAATATTATAAAACGAATCAGACAACTCGGAATAGAATAACATAATATTGACTTCAATAAATATATTCATTATTTATTCTAAACTACTGCAAAATTATACATATACACTTACATCAGGGCAGTCCGTGTAAAAACAGGTGTAGTAAAAGTGTAAATGCAGTATTAATGCTACTTTACAAAGAGAATCAAGATATTTTACCCATAAATAAGTTTTTGCAAATGAAACATTATACTATTTGTAGAAAATATAGAAAGAGTTCAGACAGAAAAATCCATTAATAAATGCATCTTCTAGGCTTGACAATAATTTAAAACGGCACCGTCACAATATAAATATTTACATATTTATTCTAATTTTCTTCTGTTTACCGTATACCAGTTGATATTAGAAGTAAAACAAATTACGATGTCTGTAATGAACTATTATAGAATCAAATGTACCACAAACATATTTTACAAAAGTCTTTACAATATTGTAATAAAACCACTGAATACTAAAAATATTTTGACTTTCTGACTTTAATTTTTCTTCTATGGCTGTAACAAAAAGGAAATTTAAAAGCAGATAATCATCTATATTCAAAGAACAGACAACTAAACAATTTGATTCAGTCTGATATCTCTACTCTGAGCTATCGATATTTGTGTAGTACATTTACAGTTGATATACAAAAATTAAAAAATATGTAGGAAATGTAATTACTA